GCTGCATAATCCAGTTGCACTTGAGTTTCAACTTACAGACTGCAGGAGGACATTCTCCTTTAGGATTTTCTGGTAGAGAGCAGAATTCACCTCCACCACCATGCTTGACCAAAGGTATGATGTTCTTTTTGTGGAATTCAGTGTTTGGTTTATGTCAGATATAATGGGACCCCTGTCTTCCAAACAGTTCCACTTTTGACTCATCAGTCCACACAATATTCTCCCAAAGGGTTTGAGGATCATCAAGATGTGTTTTGGCAAAATTTAAATGAGCCTTAATGTTCTTCTGGGTTAGCTTGTAGGTCCTTTGATGTTGTCCTTGGCTCTTTTGTGACTTCCTGGATGAGTAGTTGTTGTGCTCTTGGAAGAATTTTGGAAGGTCGGCCACTTCTGAGGTTGAATATGTAGAATGACTGAGGATAGGTTTCCTAACATAGCTCTGTAGTTTATTAATAATCAACTGAATCAGATAAATTTATTAACAATCAGTTTTATTATCAGCTCTCTATAACTCCTTGTCTCTACATAACACGTGGTGTCATCTTTTTGTGACTTTACTCTCTCATAGACTATGTCATGGACAGCAGTAATCAAATTATTGACCTTACTCTGAGTAAGACAATATTGTGATTAAGGTGTTTACATGAGTTGCTTTTAGAATATTCCTTTCATGTACCCGTTTTACATGTTCTAGAACATAGTTCGAATAACTGCACGTCATTACGTCACCGCGCCACACCGTCTGACGTCCCTCCAGAATTTCACGTATCAACATACAGTTGGTCTTTGTTATGGTACCGTATACAGTTTTGCGTGTTTTTATTTAAAAAAATTTACGAATGCTTCAAGTGCGGTTAACAATTTGTCATGCCGTATGTCCTAATAGACAACTGCTTGAAGCCATGGGCTGCGTCCCAAACCGCGTACTTACCTTCTATATAGTAGCCAAGATGCATGTATTTTGCCTACTATAGGCCTATAGTAGGTAAGTACTCAGTTTGGGATGCAGCCGTGCTCTCTTGTTTGACAGTTCCTAAAACGGTTCGTAAAACGGAGCACTGCCATGTGTGTGCGTGTCCTGTCGCAAAATGCAGTGAAAACTCTCATACAACCTTAATAGTGTGATTAAGGTGTTGACAAGTCTGTAAAACACGTCGATAATATGACTAAAACAGGAGTACTCCACATGTCTTAATTCGATTTGCGTTTACTTCGAGGATGACCTTAATCGGATTAAGGTAATTCAAAATTGCTGTTTACATGGTAGTTTCTTAATCAGAGTATTGTCTTAATCAGTTTAATATTGGATTATTGGATTATTGGATAAACGCAAATCGAATTAAGACATGTGGAGTACTCCTGTTTTAGCCGCATTATTGACGTGTATTACAGACATGTAAATACCTTAATCACACTATTAAGGTCGTGTGAGAGTTTTCACCGCATTTTGTGACAGGACATGATCACACACGGCAGTGCTCAACCGTTTTATGGCAAACGAAGGCAGCACGCTGCATCCCAAACTGCGTAGTCACCTACCACACAGTAGGCGAAACACATGCATATAGTAGGAGAAATAAATGAATGTTATCGGCTACTCTACACGCAGTTAAATAGCGGTTTTGGGACACAGCCCACAGCTTTAAGCAGTCATCTATTTGCACGTACAGCATGACAAATAATTAACCCGCAGGCGTACATGTAAAAATAGTAAATAAAAACACCAAAACTGTATACAGCACCATAATGAAGACAAAATGTACAATGATGTGAAATTCTGAAAAAAATGTCGGATGGCATGGCTCGGTGACGTAATGATGTGTGCTGTTAATCGAACTATGTTCTATAACATGTAAAATGGGTATTGATGTATGTATTATATATTGATAATGAGTATTCTAAAAGTGACTCATGTAAACACCTTAATCATAATATTGTCTTACTCAGAGTAAGGACAATAATTAGATTACGACAGTCCATGTAAACGTAGTCAATGTTAAACAATGAACAATATCTTCACATGATATCTTCCCTTTAAAAAAAAAAGTCTTTACTTCCCTGTTCTCTTTCTCTTTTTTCCTCTTTCTTATAGACATTCAAACATTTGTCATGCACAACAAACAACAACCTGTCACCAGGCAGATAAAAAATCCTGCAGAATATAGACTTGGACAATATAAACTGTAATCATTCTTATAAAGAGAACAACAATTCAATTAAACCTTCAGACCTCCTTCCCTAAGGTATTTACTTTAACATTTCACACAACTGTTTCTCTCCTCTTTTTTTCATGTCCGTGTGTAGCACAGCTTCGAGATGGTGTCAATTCTCACGTAGCACTGCACCTTGTTCCATCTCAATGATGTAGGAATGAGGCGTCACACTCTTCCACCTGATTACTGCAGATGAAGCCCAGACCTTCTCATGGTCCATTTTTGTGAGGACTGTGTCTCCAGGCCTCAGTGTTGGCAACCGTTTAGCTCCATGGCAATGATTGTAAAAATACGCTTGAAGGTCTTTCTCTTTCATGTCTTTCTGTTTGACAGTCCTTCTTTTTGGACACCTGGGTTGAAGATTTTTCTCCATGGTGGGTAGAGTAGTTCTTATCTTTCTGCCCATCGGAAGTTCAGCTGGACTGACTCCAGTGACAGACATAGGTGCACAAACATAGGTCAAGATATATTTCCACAAACAGCAGACAAGACAGCAGATCAGAGACACTATCTGATCTCCAGCCATAGTCTTTACACACATATCACCAAATTTCTGTTCACAGCAATTGCACTGAGGGTACACAGCACATGTTTCTAATCTTTGCTAAGCAGAATGCTAGTTTGGGGTTGGGATGTGTGAGCACAAAATTATGGCGGGAATCCATGGCATGGGTATTTTCTAGGAACTTAATTTTAGCACAGCTTCAGTGTGATTTTGGCCAAATGAGTAGAAACATGGGAAACTTGATGACGTTGTTTTCACCTGGGGCCAACAAAGCATTCCATCTAAGATGGAGAGTAGGGAATTTCCATATTCAACAGGATACCCTCTGTGGTATCGAAAAAACTAACAAGCAACACCCATGTGCAAGCAAATGACTCTGGAGGAACTTAAACCAAGAACCTTTGAGTAGTTCCAGGGAGGAACCTCGAAGTCCAACTCCATTGCACCACAGAGCCCAGGTTATAAGTAACATGTGTTTTTCATCTCAGGCTCTTCCAAATTCAGTGAGGGCATAGCGCTTTCCTGTTCTTGTTTACTAAACAGGTGTTTTCCTGATGACAGCACTTGAAATCTACACGTAACACATGTCTGAAAGAAAGCAACCTTTTCACATACCTGAATCCACAAGCATTTAATTGCATCAATGTCAAGGCTAGACTTTACCATCCAGAGCCCCGCCGAACCAATCTTGGCTAGCTTGTGTGGTGTGTCATCTCAGGCTGTAAGAAAGGCATAGCAGTTGCACAAACAGAAGAGTCTTTTATCAGGCACTGAAGAAATTCGCACTCTGGATCTCTTCTATGATTGATGGGCAATTTTGCGTCCCTGCATTGCATCTCCTTTTTCTCCAGCATTCGTTAGGAAACAACTACAAAATAGTTCTTGTTGATAGCAGTTGAAATTTACATGCAAAAAAAAGCAAACAAATGTAGCAGGATCTGAACCCATAAGGTTTTAATTGATTCAAGCCATGAAGCCACCACCCAATGTGACACTGACCAAATCGAGGCTTGCTGGTGTTCTCTCTTCTATGGAACAAATGGATTGTTGCTATAGAAAAAAAGAATCATGCATGGGCACTGCTGTGATTTGAACCCAGGATCTCCTGTTTACTAGACAGGCACTTTAACCAACTAAGCCACGGCATCATTTGTCTTATATGCCATCTTTCTGAACTGATTGTTGACTCTTACTCGAGCTAAGCTTGCCTAAATTTCTGTTCACAGCAATTGCACTGAGGGTACACAGCACATGTTTCTAATCTTTGCTAAGCAGAATGCTAGTTTGGGGTTGCGATGTGTGAGCACAAAATTATGGCGGGAATCCATGGCATGGGTATTTTCTAGGAACTTAATTTTAGCACAGCTTCAGTGTGATTTTGGCCAAATGAGTAGAAACATGGGAAAATTGATGACGTTGTTTTCACCTGGGGGCCACACATCTGAAAGCAAACAAATATAGCAGGATCTGAACCCACAAGGTTTTAATTGAACCAAGCCATAAAGCCACCACCCAATGCGACGCAGACCAAATCAAGGCTTGCTGGTGTTCTCTCTTCTCTGGAAGAAAGTGATTAAAGACATTGCTCTTGAAACAAACAGTATCAGACACTGCTGGGATTTGAACCCAGGATCTCCTGTTTACAAGACAGGTGCTTAAACCAACTAAGCCACAGCACCAAAGGCATTAGATGGCACCTGTCTGAACTGATTGTTGACTCTTACTCAAGCTACGCTTTATGCCAATAGCATGCGGACATAGATTACATATTAAGGCATCTACTCAACCAGCCATTAAATGCACATTCTGTCGTGCCAGATTCAGAAAAATATAACCCAGACCATTGGTCACCAACCCTGTTTCTGGAGATACTCCTTTGAAGACCATAGCACCAGATAAAGTATTGTAGACATAGGCATCCTACAAAGATGCTGATCTGGCATATGCAGGTATGTTGCTTGTGACAAAATGCTGTTGTGAGGGTACTCAGCACATGTTGGTAATCTTGGGTAAGAAGAAGTTTGGGGTTTGGATGTGTGAGCACAAATTATGGCATGAGATTATGGCATGAACCCATGTCATGGGTATTTTCTAGGTATTTAAATTTAGCCCAGTTTCAGTGTCAATTTGTCCAAATGAGTAGAAACATGGGGACCCTGATGACGTTGTTTTCAACAGGGGCCAACAAAGCATTCCATCTACGATGGAGAGTAGGGAATTGCCATATTGAACAAAATACCCTCTCTCGAATAAATCAGCAATCCACTCCACCTGAAATCAAATGACTCTGGAGGGACTTGAACACACAATCTTTGAATAGCTCCAACGTTGAACCTAGAAGTCCAAAAGCACTATCCGTTGCGCCACAGAGCCCAGATAACAAGGAGGAAAGGTGTTAAGTAGCAAAGGTGTTCTCTCAAACAGTCAGATCTACCGTTTTGATTTAGTCAGTCAGGTTTTAAATACCTAGGTATCAACGTGACACGTTCTCTATCTATTCTTCTATCAGCTAACTTATCTTTATCTACTTATCTACTCCCCTTATCTCAAAGGTTAAATCTAACATTCAGAGTTGGGATAACTTACCACTTTCCCTAATTGGCAAGATCAACGCTGTCAAAATGAATATTTTACCGAAGTTTCTTTTCTTGTTCCAACAAGTGCCTCTTTCTCTCCCAAAATCATTCATTGGATAAGATAATTAGTATATTTATTTGGGGAGGGAAGCCACCAAGGGTTAGTAAATCTTTATTGCAGAAATGTAAACTTATGGGAGGACTTGCATTACCCAATTTTCAATTCTATTACTGGGCTGCACACATCCATAAACTTTGTTACTGGGTTCAATCTCCTGGATCTTCTTGGTCTAAATTGGAATTATCTTCTTGTAGGGAATCCTCTTTACCTGCTCTACTTTACACCTCTTTACCTACAAAACTTTCCCAATATACTGATAACCCTGTTGTCCTCAGCACACTTAGGACTTGGTATCAATTTAGACGACATTTTAAATTTGTAGGTGCATCCTCTTTGTGTCCTTTAGTGAACAACCATCTATTTCCCCCATCGTGTATGGACTCCTCATTTTCAGTGTGGTATGACAAGGGTATTAAACAAGTTAGGAAGTTGTATTCTGATGGTGTGTTTGATAGCTTTGCCAATTTGGCATCCACTTACAATCTCCCCTTGACACATTTCTTTCGGTACTTTCAAATACGGAATTTCGTTTCTAGATGTTTTCCTGATTTCCCTTCTGCTCCTCTTGAACAGGCTTGGGAAGACCTGTTTTCAAATAACCCGCATCAGAGAGGAATGATTTCAAAGATTTATGATTTTATTTTGACGCAAGGTAGTGGGTCGAGTAATAAAATTAGGTATGCGTGGGAAACGGAATTAGGCGTACAAATAAGTGAGGAGTGTTGTGAACATGCTATAGGGAGGGTACAGACTACCACTTCTTGTGCTCGTCTTGGACTTATACAGTTCAAAGTTTTAAATAGAGTCCATTTGTCCAAGTCGAGATTGTCTGTGATGTATCCGGATGTAGAGGACAAGTGTGATAAATGCCATGGCTCTCCCTGTCATCTTGGCCATATGTTTTTCTTCTGCCCTAAACTCCATGGTTTTTGGTCTGGCTTTTTTACCATCATGTCCACTATTCTCAGGGCAGATCTAAAGACTTGTCCACTGATTGCGATATTTGGGATCCCTCAAGCTTCAATTCCTTTGAGTTCGATACAAAAGGATGTTATTGCTTTCACATCCCTTATAGCTAGATGTTCCCTACTGTTACATTGGAAGTCTGCTAAATACCCATCTATCTGTCAGTGGATAAAGGACGTGATGTTTTTTCTGAAACTCGAGAAAATACGATATACGATGAATGGATGTACAGATAAGTTTTTTCATAAATGGCATCCCTTTATTGCCTACTGTATGGAGTTACAGACACTACCCATTTAAAGGTTGGTGCCTGTTGTCGAATTTTATAATATCTCTATAACCAACGACAGTTAATGGGTAGCCATGATGAGCCGGAGGGGTGGGTTGTGGGTTCAATTTTGTTTTTCTTTGTATAAAAAGAAAAAATATCTGTGAATATTTACTGCTGTTGCTCATTTTGTATTTTTGGGAAATGGTGGGGAGGACAGAACAGAAAAGGCGATTTAGATAGGCTTAGCAGTTCAACAGAAATGTTCATCAGAAATGTTTAATAAAAAATAAACGTTTTGCAGAAATGTATAGCAGAAATGTTTAGCAGAACTGGTTTAGCAAAAATTGTTCAGTATAAATGTAGAAATGTTCTGTAGAAATGTTCATCAGAAGTGTTCAGCAGAAATGTTCAATAAAAATGAAAAAGAAAAAAAAAGTAGCAAAGGTGTTTCCTCTCAGATTCTTCCAAATTGAGTGAGGGCGTAGCACTCACCAATCTGTGCTTGCTGGTATTTACTCCTTTCTGTAACAAAGGGATGGAAGGCATTGGTCTTGAAAGAAAAGAAGGCTCCTGCATCAGGCACTGCTGGGATTTGAACCCAGGATCTCCTATTTACTACACAGGCACTTTAACCAACTAAGCCACAGCACCACAGTTTTTAAATTCAGTGTTGTTGAATTGATTGTTGACTATTAATTAAGCTAAGCCGTATGTCAACGGCATGCAGACATAGAAAACATATTAAGGCATCTGCTCAACCAGCCACGAAATGCACATTCTGTCGTGTCAGATTCAGAAAAAGACAGCCCAGACCAGTCGTCACCAATCCTGTTCCTGGAGTTCCTCCTTTTGAAGACCATAGCTCCATCTAAAGTAGACATAGTCATCCTACACAGATGCTGATCTGGCATATGTAGATTTCTTGTTTCTGCCAGAATGCTGCTCCTTCCGCGGGTTTGTGGAATGCTATGATACTCAACCTCGGATAAACAACAAATATAGGTCAAGATTTTCCAACCAAATTCTTTAAAACGTTTATTGGAAAATTAGCTCCATTGCTTTTGGCTATGTTCAACGAATTTTTGGAACGTGGGTCTTTGCCTCCAACTCTGACACAAGCCACGATAGCTCTGCTCCTAAAGGAGGGTAAGGATCCATCCTCCTGTGGTTCTTATAGACCGCTATCACTGCTGAATGCAGATGTAAAGGTGTTGGCGAAAGTAATGGCATCTCGGTTAGAGAATGTACTTCCTTATATTATATCTGAAGATCAGAACGGTTTTATAAAGGGACGTCAAATGTTTTTCAATACCCGTACACTCTTTAATATAATTTATTCAAAGCATTCAGCTGTTCACCCTGAGATTGTGATTTCATTAGATGCTGAAAAAGCATTCGACAGGGTCGAATGGGAGTATTTGTTTGCAGTCCTGAGGAAGTTTGGATTTGGGGACAAGTTTATTTCTTGGATTAGCCTCCTTTACTCAACCCTTTATGCTAGAGTTCAGACTAACGATACTTATTCTGATTATTTTGCGCTCGGACGAGGGTGTCGCCAAGGGTGTCCTTTATCCCCACTGCTTTTTGCTGTTGCCATCGAGCCGCTCTCTATTGCACTAAAATCTTCCTCCTTGTTTAAAGGAATAGTTCGATACGGGGTAGAATACAAATTGTCGCTATATGCTGATGATTTGTTATTGTATGTAACTGATCCTACCGCCTCTATGCCTTCTGTCTTGGATGTTCTGGAGTCTTTTGGTGTTGTCTCTGGTTATAAATTAAATTTAGATAAAAGCGACTGTTTCCCTGTCAATACTCCAGCTCTGTATCTCCAACAGTCAGATCTACCGTTTTGATTTAGTCAGTCAGGTTTTAAATACCTAGGTATCAACGTGACACGTTCTCGATCTAATCTTCTATCAGCTAACTTTACTCCGCTTATCTCAAAGGTTAAATCTAACATTCAGAGTTGGGGTAACTTACCACTTTCCCTAATTGGCAAGATCAACGCTGTCAAAATGAATATTTTACCGAAGTTTCTTTTCTTGTTCCAACAAGTGCCTCTTTCTCTCCCAAAATCATTCTTTGAGTCATTGGATAAGATAATTAGTACTTGAGGGTTCGAATTCGGTGTTCGATGGAGTAAGACATGAAGTTTGAGTCTCCTGCTGATTTCGATCAAAAATTGTAATTAATTACCACTTTCTTTTGTAATATAATATTTTTATATATAATTTATATATATAATATTATATATAGTATATTTTGACTTATTCTACTTCGTTTCCTTATTTGTACTTTTAACTCGGTGGTTCGTTAAAGATGTCAGGGAAAAACTCGACAACCGGTGGTAGCATACAGATAAAAATGAGGTCTGGAGGGCGCACCGCGAGCGCGTTTCCTTCTCGTGAATTCGCAATCGCGCCTCCCTCTCACCATACACCTGTGCCCGCGAATCCTTCTCCTCAGGAATCCGTAGCCGCGCTCCCTTCCCCCAGTGAACCCGCGGTCGCATCCACGTCCCCGAGTGGTGGCTCTGACCTCGCTGCATTCAATCTTGAGTTGCTGGCTTTACTTAGGAAGGACATCGCTGATTTTAAGAATGAGTTCCGGGAGCACCAGAAGCACCAGGAGAATCTTCAGAAGACTCTCAGTGATGCGCTGTCTACTATCCAGCTCGACCTGCAGGCCATGAAAACACAGCAGGCTAGCGATAAAGTCGCTACTGATGCCACCATATCAACACTGAAAGGTACTGTTGGGGAAATGGGGCACACTCTCTCCAGTTGCACCAATGATATAGTTCACATGAAGACTACTATTGAGTCGCTCACTGCAACCGTGACTCAATTAGAGAATAAATGTGCGGATTTGGAGTCGATAGAAGACATATCAAGACATCTGCTCAACCAGCCACGAAATGCACATTCTGTCGTGTCAGATTCAGAAAAAGATAACCCAGACCATTGGTCACCAACCCTGTTCCTGGAGATACTCCTTTGAAGACCATAGCACCAGCTAAAGTATTCTAGACATAGGCATCCTACACAGATGCTGATCTGGCATATGCATACATGTTGTTTGTGCCAGAATGCTGCTTCTACCTCTGATTTGAGACATGCTAGAATTCTCAACCTATGATAAACCACAAACATAGGTCATGATATATTTCCACAAACAGCAGACAAGCCCCAGCAGATCAGAGACACTATCTGATCTCCAGCCATGGTCGTTACACACATATCACCAAATTTATGTTCACAGCAATTGCACTGAGGGTACACAGCACATGTTTCTAATCTTTGTTAAGCAGAATGCTAGTTTGGGGTTGCGATGTGTGAGCACAAAATTATGGCGGGAATCCATGGCATGGGTATTTTCTAGGAACTTAAATTTAGCACAGCTTCAGTGTCATTTTGGGCCAAATGAGTAGAAACAT